TAGAGGCATTCTCCCCAATGAAGGCAGCTAACTCTATTTATCCACTAAATCTTCATTTGTCTTTCTGCATCCTTTTATTCAACAATTATTCATTTAATACCTAATATTTACCAGGCACTATTCCAAATGCAGGGGACACAGAAGTGAACAATATGGTCTCAAAATTTAGCTCTTCTAGAGCTTATATTCTAATCTGAGGAGAAAGACAATAAACAGTTGTCTGAAAAGAAAGACAAAATATTTTCCTTTATGGCACTGATATATATCAGGATACACACACACGCACATGCATCAATTGGCAATAAGAGCCAAAAGAAAAATGAAGCAGGGAAGCAAGGAGGTCCAAGTAGGCCTCATTAAGAAGCTGAAAGAGACCTGAGGTGGTTTGAGAGGGAGCCTTGAGGATGACTGGTGGAAGAGGCCGGTACTGGGGAGGAAGAACGAACATGGATTCTCAAGTAGAACATTCCAGGTGTGCTTGGGACCGGCAAGGAGGCCAGCATGGATGAAATGAATGAAAAACAGTCATTAAGGGTTATAAGTGAATGAGTATGTGGTGGGTGGTAAGTCCAGGTTACAAGGGGCCAGACTCTGAAGAGTCTTGAATGCCATTGCTAGGATTTGGGCTTTTACTTTACATGAGATGAGAAGCCATTAGAGGGTTCTGAGCAGAGGAGACATGTTCTGCTTACATTTGAAACAATTACTCTGGCTGTTGTGCTGAGAATATAATAACAGGCAAAGGTAGAGGCAGTGGAAACCAGTAATTATTGCATCAACTCAGACAAGGAGATGGAGGGAGCTTGGACCAGGATGGTAGTAGTGGAGGTGGTGAAAAATGGTCAAATTCTATTAATATTTTGAAGGCTGAGCTTACACAATTGCTGACAGATTGGATGTGGTATGTAGAAAAGAGGAGAGAAGTGCCCAGGGCACCAAAGAATGGAATTGCCGTTGATTACAGTGGGGAAGACTTGGAGAGGATTAAGGAGTTCAGTCCTAACATGTTATATTGGTTAGATTTATTACTCATCTAAGTGGAGATATAAAGTAGGCAGTTGGATAGACTAGGCTGCAGCTCAGGGAAGAAGACCGACCAGTGCAACCCATAAGGACCTCTCCCATTTGTACACTTCTAGAACTTCCCATCCATAACTCTCATTTGATAATACAGGAATTGCTTCATTGATGCCTACTGTGTTTTTGCTTTTTATTGTTTTACTCTCATTTTTTTTCAAATGCATATTTGTACCCTTTGTCTTTCTATAAAGAGTTTAACTTCCTTGTGGGCTGGGTGTATACAATTGTATTTTATTAGAATCCCATAGCACTTGGCGCAGTAGCTACTCAGTAATCAGGCCGTAAACTCTACCACTGTGCAAGTTCACCCCTGACTTTTGAGAACAGCATGTTTTGACTGTTTTTTGTTCTCTCCTTTGCAGGCCACTATGTACATGGCATTTGCATCTATGGAAACGGAGACTTAAAGTGGTTGATTAATTCACCAAGCCTTTTTGCTAACAAGTTTGAGCTTACTACATACCCTCTTACTGTGGAATGCCTAGAACTGAGACTTCGAGAAAGAACCCTAAATCAGAGTGAAACTGCAATTCAGCCCAGCTGGTATTTTTGATCTACTGCGACTCATGACTGAAGGGAACCTGCAGTTGGAAAGACGAGTCTTTCTTTGTGAGAGAACTTTGCCTTGGTTAACAGTTTCATGACTGAGGTTATGGCTTCAGGACATGGCTACACTATTATATGTTACAATATCCATTAGACACTGTGAAATACACTAACGGGATGGCTTCACAGAGCGATCCTGGCACTTTGGCCACTCTGGCCATTTCTTGATGTTCACCTCTTTGTCAGTCTTGTTCTGATCAATGTCATCAGATCTTTGCACCAGATGCTCATGATATATAAATGTTCTAATGAAAAGGAGAATTTTAGATAATATGATTTAGGAAAATGAGAACGGTTTCTTTGAAAGAGGGAATCTTTTATAACAGATCTATAGCCATATATTAAAGGACACCATTCTTATTTGTTCAACCGCACAACTCATCAAGCTTCTTTAAAACTTGAGCTACTGAAACTGAGAACTAGATCTTTTTCCTGAGATTTAACACTAGCATTTTCGGTTTACTTGTCTGACATTCTGTATAGAATATAAATTCATTAACAGGAGGCAAGATGTGAGCTAAGACAACAACACTGCTTGCTGCTTCAGTAAAAGGAACCCCTGGATAACACAACATTTCTCGATTGTGTCAGAATGTGCTCTGGTCCCTTTTCCATCATTTGTCATTGAGAACACTGAAAAGTTCTTGCACAATGAAGACATTCTTAGAAGAGAGGTGGTATTGCATGGATCTAGTCTCAAATCTCTAACACCTCAGAATGAATCACTTTCCTCTTTTGTCACCACCCTCACCAAAGTAAAAAATGGAGATCAAATTTTAACCTGTGAGGCTTTTAACAACTCTATGATGTTCTCTGAATGGCTTTATAATGCCTGGTGCTGATAAGAATGCCTAGATGTTTAAGAGCTTTCAATAAGCATCTCTGTCATTTATCCCTTGTCTGTTCACTCATGCAATTCGTTCAGCATGCAGTTAATAAATATTTCTTGAGTACCTATTATATGCCAGACATGCTGAGACAAGCAGGAAAAGTAAGTCAGAAGGTCTTTCACTCTAAAAATCTTGATAATAATGTTAATGTTGGAGAGGCTGCTCTAGGGAACTTTAGAGGATGGTTGCATTTTAATATGTTCATCTGCAGGGGTGTAGATTGTGCTATGGGACCAAGGGTCTTCCAAATTACAACTTGAAGTTTAAATCAGAGGTTATTCAAAAGAGAGAAGATAAAGAGGTGACATAAACTAAAGCTCTGTCAAGGTATTCTGCTAGCTCACTGCATTCAAACCTCTCAACATTCCTTTGAGGTCTTCATTTATTGTCCCTGTTTGTCTTGCAGGTGAAGTAAGTGAGGCTTGGAGAAGTTGTTACTAAGCAGTAGGAAACAAGTTCTCTGACAATTGGGATTCTCTTACTGGTCTTATTTCATTTCCCGAGGTGGAATATTAGAGAAGGTGAAATAAGGCCATATTTAGTATGCCAGAGAAGGTAGGTTTTAAGAATGGTCTCGGTGTTAATATTGAGAAAAGGTCCTGTCACCTCAGAAAAATGTGAAGTCTACTTTTGTATTCATCTAATCCATTGAAGTCCTTAATATTTATTTATTCTGATGAAAAACAATTACTACAACTAATGATACATTTAATTAACACAATTTTTTTCCTGTAATTGTTGTACCCGTTGAATGTTAATCATATTTAAAGGGAATAACTATGAAATAAAGCTTTTTTTTTTTTTTTTCCTGCTACTAGAAAAGGTGGAACTGTATTAAATGGTAAAGAGCTGAGGGGTAGGAAATACACCGAGAGCTAATGGCAGAGTCTAAAAATTGTCATTTTTCAACTTATTTAAATGATGCTGCATGAAAAGAAGAAATGTTTTTACACTGGATCTTTCTCACTTAGAATGAGAAGCTTTTTGGAATAGAAGATGTTTACATGTCTGTTGCTTGTCATCTCTCCTATATCTTAAATATTTTAATATTGGAAGAGAGTAGTGTTTGGCCTAGTGGGTTTCTGCTAGTCCATGGAATACCCTAAAACTACTGAATCAGTCTTTGTTTTTGATGATGTTTCATGTTGTTTTCTTGAAAATAAATTAATATATTGTTTTCCACCTTTGGGGTTGTTGTGTATATTTATTTGATGATTGGTTAATATCCACTAAAGAGCATGTTTAACAAGGTAATTCTAGCATTTAGAAAAATACAAATAAGCACATTTATAGATATACATATACCTGTCTAAAAAAATGTCCATCCACTGAAAAATAATTAAATTTTCACTTTTGGGGATGTTGGGGAGAGTTTTTAGAATGATAGGGAAGAGGATATAATGGAAGATCGATTTCAGTTAAATTGAGTACAACTATTTTAAAATTTCAGTTGAGAATAAGTTATTTTATAGTTGCTTGCTTTATTCATTTTTTTAAATCAAGATAGAGTTTAGAAAAAAGTCTCATGTTACTAGTATCATAATTACTTGATTAATTATCAAATGCCAAAGTTTTTGAAAAGCTATCAGTTCTGTTTTGCTAAAGAAATATTGCCTCTACTAGACAAATGGAAACTGATAGAAATACTAAGGAAAATAACTCAAAGGACATCTTCTGCACCATTTTTTAAAATAAAACATATTTTAAAACCAAAGTGAAAAACATTTCAAACAAAAATAATAAAAAATACGTAGTCATAAAAATAGAAAAAGAATACAGAAGAATATAGAATAAAAAGTGAATAGAGAAGGGTATGAAATAAAAAAATGAATTCCTTTCTCCAGAGATAACCACTTATTTGGTGTATATTTCTGAGTGCCTTTTCAAGCAGTGATATATATACACACACATACATATATCCTACTGCAGAGCTATCCAATAGAATTTCTGCAATGTTGAAAATGTTCTATATCTGTGCTGTACAAAAATGGTAACCAGCTATTGAGCACTTGAACTATGATGGTATGACTGAAGAAATGTTACTTATTTTTAATTTTATTTAGCTTTAATTAATTTAAATTTAAATAGCCACATGTGACTAGTGGCTATTGTACAGCACAGTTATAGGTACACATCCATTATGCACATGTGCTTGGGTACACAGTAGAAATAAAAAGACACTGGCTTTTTTTTTTTAATGATTTGATTATATAGACATATAATAGAAATTATATCTTTTTGCAACTTGCTTTTTCGGGGATCTTTAAAATTAAACTTTTAATTTTCAAATAGTTTTACAGAAAAATTTCAGATAGTACCAAAAGTTCCCATATACCCCACACTCAGTTTCCCCTATAATTAACAGATTATGTTAGTATGGTACATTTGTTAGTGGTCCAATTATCATTATTATCCAATATTCACACTTTATTTAGATTTCCTTAATTTTTATTTAATGTTCACCCCCTCTTCCCCAGGATCCCATCCAGAATACCACATTACATTTAGTCATCATATCTCCACATATCTCTGGGCTGTGACTGTCGGACTTTCCTTGTTTTTGATGACTTGACAATTTTGAGGGGCACTGGTCAAGTATTTTGCAAAGTGCCCCTATTTGGTTTTGTCTGTTGTTTTTCTCAAGATTAGATTGAATTTGGGGGTTTGGAGGAGGAAGACCACAGAGGTAAAGTGCCATTTTCATAATATCATATCAAGAGTACATACTGTCAATATGACTTACCACAGTTAATGCTGACCTTGATCCCCTGTCTTAAGAGGTGTTTATCAGGGTTCTCTACTGTAAAGTTACTCTTTTATCCCCTTTCCTTTCAGTATTCTTTGGAAAGAAGTCACTATTCACAGCCCACATCTAAAGAGTGAGGAATTACACTACCCTTATTTAGAGGAGAGTATCTACATAAATTACTTGGAATTCTTTTATACAGATTTGTCTCTTTTCCCCAATTTATTTATTTATTCAATCATTTATATCAACATGGATTCATGGATATTTATTTTATATTTTGGGTTATAATCCAATACTATTTTTTTCTCAATGTTCCAGGCCTTGGGTAGCTTTCAGTTGGCTCCTGAGTTCCTTTAACATACCCCCATCACCATGGGGCTTTTTCTCAAACATTTTCTTACTTTCTCATGCTACAAGATGCTCTCCTGGAGCATCTCTTGCTGTTTTCCTATTCAGTTTTGAGAATAAATGACAAGTACAGTAGTCACGGCCTGAGAAGTACATGGTAATCTGAGGCTTAGACCTTCAGGTAGAGTTTGGTTCACTTCACCAAGTAAGCCGTCTGCACTAGCAGAGGTGCTAATGAAGGATAAGAATCTGAAATGAAGAAGAGGAGACACTGAGTGCCAGTTATGGCATTGAGACTACCTGCAATGATAGAAGATACAGGTCATTTTACTAATCTTCCCTTCATAAGTTTTCCCCAAGAAAAGACCCCAGATCTTGGAGGAGCTGCTTCCTAAACTTAAAGGAAGAAATAGATCAAGCTTCTCAAATATGGATGCTGCACTGCACAAATGGGATCTCCCCAGGACTGAAGCCATCAGCCTTCTCTGAGAATTTACCCTTACTCTCACCCAAGGTCACATCCCATCTGGGTTCAGCCTGCATACAATGCCTGGATGAGGTAAGGCTATAAAGGAATTTGTACAGAATTTATATTGATAAATTTGGGGGGTAATTAAACCTCAATAACATTGAGCTGTTAATATGTCTATTTATTCAGGTCCTCTTTTATGTCCTTTACTAATATAGTTTTTCTTGCATAAGTCTTGTATGTGTCATGTTATGTTTATTATCATGTATACAGAGTTCTTTGTGCTGATTGGGAATGGAATTTTTAAAGACTATTTCTATTTTACTATTGATAATGTAAAGGAAAACAATTAATTTTGATCCCGTATGTGGATTTTATTAAACTTTTTCATGATTTCTAATAGTTTCTCAATGTGTTACATCTCATATTTTCTGGTACTTATCTATAACAGTTTTGCCTTTTCCTTCTCAATATTAAATCACCTGTCTTGTTTCTTTTTCTTGTCTTCTTACATGGGCATAAATTTGCACTACAATTTTATTTTATTTATTTATTTTTTAAATGCCTATAGCACCTGGTATTCGAAGGTGGACTCTCATCCAAGTACTAACCAGGCCCGACCCTGCTTAGCTTCCGAGATCAGATGAGATAGAGTACGTTCGGGGTGGTATGGCCATAGACTACACTATAATTTTAAATAGTAGCAGTGATAGCAGTTATCTTTGAGTCCTCGACACTAGAGGGCATGTTTAACTCTTCTGCATGGTGTTAGAAGTTTAATGTAGGTGTCTTACCTTTTACTGAGGTAAGAATCAAAATACCAGAAAATGAACATAAATCAAAATATATGATTTTTTTTTTTTAATATTTGTTATCTTTTTTGTTGTTGCTTGATGGAATAATGGATGATTTAGTTTGTAAATTTTTTCTTTGTAACTGTTACTTCAGAAGGTGAAAGGAAAATGTCTCATTTCTAATCTTCTTAAACAGTAAGAATGTACTATAGCAGTCCATGTCAAGTGGGAAACTGGAGTAGAGATGCATTTGAACAGACTAGGCAAACATTTGGGAGTTTGGGAAGACTAATGCCTGAGCTGGAAGTTTTCTAATGTAATTGCTCCCTCTTCTGGTCAGGATGGCTTAGGGATTAAGTGGTCAAGCCAATGGGAAAAACAGTAGAAGTCAGCTCTCTCCCAGGGCCAAATTTTGACCTTAGGAAGACTAACAATGTCTCTGAGAAGAGGAAGTTAAAGGGTGGAGCTGACCATGCTCACTTGTCTATGAGGAACACTTGCAAGCTTTGAAAGTGGTGGGCATCTATGATGGCTGTCTGGAAGATAAACCTCTAGTAGTCTTGTTGTGGGCCCAGGAAGCCTGACCTACATCTTGGGAAGCATCCTGGGGACTGTGTTAGACGAGTGGACTGAATAATATAAAACTAAACAGTTCTTAAGAAAAGAAGATAAAATTCAAAAATTGAGAGCAAGCAGCAAGTGTCAAAATGTAGAAGTGAATCTCAGGTATAATGCAATCAGGACATGAGGATATTAGGCTGAAAAAGTTAGTGCAAGATTGATGTGAATTATTTATGAACTTCAGGCCATTTATTTCAGCTAAAGTATATTATTAGTGAAATTCAGGCCACCAGCTGTACACAGCCAAAAATGTACAGTTCTAGAGGGCTTTCTAAAAGAGTTCTATTTTGATGTAATTTTAGACTTAGGGAAAAGTTACAAAAACATTACAGAGAGTTCTTGTAGATCTTTCGCCAGCTTCTCCTAATGTTAACATCTTACATAATCAAAGTTCAATTATCAAAAACAGTTTTGTTTGTTTTTTAATTCTGTGCTGGCTGTGTGTGGAGAGTCGGAATCAGCCGACTTTTACCTTTGCACATGACAGACCATATGAGTAAGGTGAATAAGTCCCAATGACATGTACGTCATCACAGTAGACCAAATGACAGCAAGGGGCTGGTATCAAGTGATACTTCCTGATTAAAAGTATACTATGGAAAGGAAAATTCTGTAAATTCTCCATTTTACTCTGTGGAAATGAGATAAAAGAAAGGGATAAGAGAGAAGAGCAGATTCATAGCCATCTTGTGGAGTAAAAGCAGGTGTATGGCATTTAAAATGTGTCCTGAATTTTACAGATCACTGGTTGGAAGATTCTAGTTTTCTCAGGATTTTACTAAGTAGATTTAATGGGTCGTGAAGAGCTAGGAGGAAAAGCACCGAATTCTGCCACGTCTACACATTTAAACTCTGGAGCTTTACACCTTTGGTGATCCCCTTCCACATACCTCTGAGCAGGTGAGGCATGATAACTCCATGATTAGCATTAGCATGGTGACTTTCACAGACGGCTCAACAGGAAGTACTTGAATTAGATTTTCCAATTGCACTGCTGTATCAGAGATGACCCAGGGGAAAAAGAATGGTTTAAAGAGTAACCACAGTAATAGCTTGAGATTCTTTTGGGGTAACAGTTACAAAAAGCAACAGAGTGATTTAAATACACTCTAGGCTTGCAGAGAAACATTTGAAAATGTAAAAATTTACTAAAACACTGATGTTGCAGTCATTACCATATGAAGAAATTTTCCTATCTGGAT